AAGGAAAGGAAAAAACCCTGGTTGAAGGATTGAAGGTGGACAGATTAATAATAATATAAAATTAAAACTTAAGGACATTTTGAATTAATTTATTAAACTTTTTTTAATTTGGGTTCGAAACCGAAATTTAAAAAAACGTTTAATAAATTCATTCGAAATTTCCTCAATCTAGATACTCAAAACTGTTCAGTTTCCTCCAAAAATCGGAGGTCCCAGATGCTCATTTTCGATTCTCATATTGGGTGTCATTCATACGCTCTCTGTATAGACCCAAAGAGTTGAACCTTCAATTAGGCGGGACACATCGAGAAACAATTCTCTACATAAAGGACTCATACAAAAAGGCTGCTTGCAAGTACTCTGGTTTCGAGCCACAGGATACTTACAATGATTATTTGGAGATCGTGAGATGCGGTCTGGTGTGATGTAGGTTTTAGAAAAACAATTTTTTATCGTGCCAACGTTTCGATCTTTATTGAGATCATCTTCAGGGCCTGGGATTTACAAACACTGTTTACATTTTACAAATACATGCTCATATGACCTAGACATAGACCTGCTAATCATGTCTTAGTTAAACCTTCAAACGGATAAAAGTAAGTTAACTGTGAGAGTTCCTCTTCGGGTTTAAGGGGTATGTTGGCCTGTGAATCGCATCATGGCTTCAACCTATCTTCAGTGATTTGTCTGTAATTTAGACAGTCGTGTCCATGTTATTTGTTTACAATTGTTTACGGGTATTCAACGGCAAATCAACCATCCGACCGACTAGAGTTGAACAACCCAGTTCAGCCTACTTTGAATTGTTAGAAAATTGACGTACAACTGGTAATCAACATAAAGTTTACTCAATTAATTAATCTTTATGTAAGGTAATTAATTGAAAGAGGTTATGTGGTCAATCAGACCAAGAAGTCAAATGGATAAATTTTATTGATCTAACACTGAACCTGACGAGAAGACAAACGCGCCTGAACGAACAAAACAGCAAGCATAGGCAGGTTAAAAGGTTAAACCACAAAACGAAATGGTCAATGTTGAGTTCCAAATTCGTCTTTTTTACTTTACAAGTAGAAACTCGATATAAAAACAACCAAGGCCGATCGCAGAGTAATACGGTGTTCGATGATGTACTGCCTGTTCATAAGGCATAATTTTGAATTTTGAAAATTTGTAATGGCGATGAAGCCCCTTCGGGAAGACTAAACAAAAAACAACAAACCGCAGCTAAGATTTAATTAAATTTTATCCCCGCTAAACCACATTCTGAGATAATCTTCAATTATCATCACCTTGTATTAAATATGAAAATTAATAGACAAATAGATACCACACAGTCAATAAGTTTCATTCGTTTATCTGCAGCTGATAACTTTCCGCCTAAAAACACATCTTTCTGGATGCAGTTATCATTTGAAAGGTCCTTGGATAAAAACTATGAGAGTTTCATTTTATCTGATTTTGATATTTATGGCTATATGTTAGCTCAACGGATGTAGTTTTTAAGATAACTGCTTATAAAAGGGGAAAGTAATGCGATTCCTTCAGATAAAAATTATGAAGCTAATATTGCTAGCTAAGTTTCAAGAAAACTAGAAACTTTGTGTTTTGTGGTCTATAAAATCTACATCGCTCCGACCGCCGAACGGCTGCTCTAGACACTAGACACTCATTGTTTTTTCCCTGGACTCATCATTTGCTATGAAAAAGAGTCCATGTACAATAATTTAGATTATATTAATGACTTTCCTCAGCTGTAACTAGCAAATTGTCTAAGCTGGCCTCCACAAAAAAAAACGTTTTACTCGCTATTTTCGGACGTGCCACTGTATCGAACCTCTAGATCGAACAATCACAGAAGGGCTGTGTTTGTTTAAATAGGACCTGATCTAATATCGCACAATCAGTCAAAAGTTTTGATTTGGTCGTCTCCGATCGCCATGGTCTGCCTATCCTGATTAAGATCTCTCAAACATCGATACGATCAGTGGCTGACATTGGTGTTATTTAGTCAATCGTGTCCTTCTGTCAAATTTTTAAGATTTTAAAGAGTAGGCATTTTAAGAAGAGCGAACCAACTAGAATAAGCGTACTAGAATGGTAGGAAACTGACCAAACTATAGTTTTACAACGGCACCCAAGTCAACCAAATATCTCAACCATACGCACACATACAAAGCAAATAAAAGGCGAACAATTTTTCATATGCCCGTATTTCTTCCTTTATGCTAACAACTTTTTCTACGTATCAAAACCACAAAGGTCGCAGTAAAATAACATTGTTAAGATGGTTAAACAGTAAATTAGATTAGCAATTAAATGTTTTGGATAATTTTTACCATACACAAGCCTTCATCTAAAAATAGTGATGTGCCAAAATACAAGCAAAACTATAAAATAAAGTTTGGGAGATTTTTACCATATGCACCCCCTCATCTAAAATAGTGATGTGCCAAAATACAAACAAAACTATAAAATACAGTTTGGGAAAATTTTACTATACATAAGCCCTCCTCTTAAAAATGGCGATGTGCCAAAATGCAACCCAAACCATAAAACAAGGTTTGGGAGATTTTTTACTATGCACAAGCCTTTCTCTAAACGCCGACCAAACTATAAAATTTAAAATAACTTGAAAATTTTGGAAATGTTACGGCTAAATTTTAGCAGGAACCTTTTATTGACATGATGATTATTCCAATAACAATTGGAAGAATAATAGATGAAATACCTCAATAAAAACCACTGCTTGAGTGCCATGGGAGCTCCAGGCTTAAAATTACTAAAGAAAGAAAAAAACTTAAGGTTGCTAGGCGTTTAAATGGGGCTATCATGTTTTAAGGATTCTAGAAGTTCTATACATGAACTTTTTCATATTATGGTCACCTTTAGAAAGCCATGAAGGTCGGGGTAATTAGCCCAGTCTGATCTTAACGACTGATACTGTCGTTAATTGACACTGCGATCAACAAAGCAGCAGGCAACAAACAAGACACCTAGACGATCTTTTACTCTTCGAATTTTTAATATGTAAATAATATTGTTGTACGAAATGACAATCGTGTAAAATTTGGTCCCGATCAATAGTCTTAAAAAAGTGTAGATATGAAACTCGATTCGCGGTTTTCGCGGGGCAAGCAGCACATATTTCGACAGGCTCATAACGGGTAAAAAGTGGTGTAACGGGATAGCAATTTGCCGGATGAGTAGTGCCCCCTTTTCTTATGGTGGCCAAATTAGATTCCCCCTCACCGAGAACTTAATACACTAAGCTTTCTATTCGAATTACCTGAAGATAGTCAATTGCGCCCGTAAGAGACGCGCCCAATTATTTTGAGCCCTTCCAATACCAACTGATCGTTTTTCATTAGAAAAATGACGTGCCAGTTTCGATAAATGTTTACGGAGGGCATGCCGGCCACGAGAGGAATTTAATATAAATAACTCGCCCCTCGCCGTGGACTTCGCATATCAACATTCAAAAAGGAAGCAATAAAGCTTTTGTGTTAATTCTTCTTATGGTAAGAACATCGCAAACGATTCGTTCCTAAACGTACAGAAAGAAATCGTATCGCCATTAATTTTTGCATTTATTTATTTTATAACTGCATGCGAAATGCAACAAGCAAAAATTATGGTATATAATATTCGTCATTTCTATAAGCAATTCTCGCCGTTCGTCCGGCGGAAGGACATATCAAACGGGTTCAGTTTGGTTAAAACCGCGATCGATCCCGGGGCGTTAACTCAGCCGAAAATATACGCTAAACTGTTACTTCTTTAATAAATAATAATACACAAACTGTTATTTCTGACTTGTGCTGAATTTATAATGTTCTCCAAGCACGAGAGGAGGAGAAAACAGTCAGGCAAATTCCGTCCTAAAATGTGTAAAACGTAAATTACATTATTTTAGGGTCAATCGTAACTATAACTGTAAATATCCAACTAACTCCACCTATTGTCTCATCCTGAAGATCCTCTCGGATTGATCAAACTTGCCCAACAGTGCACTTAAACATCAAGGTAATACCACCATCCAACAAGATTCGCTACCTTGAGCTTTACTTATGTAGCAGACTTATAGAACCCACATACGAAATTAAAACAATAAGAACTTAAGAAAAGATATAGACTACTCAGACAACTTGGACCAAAATCGACACTAACCACAGGTGACAAAACACTCAACAGACCGAATTGGCCTTACAGAGTTGAATTGTGGGGCTCCTCCAACATGCAACGAATCAATCCTTTCACCGAAAAATTCTCCGCCGTATCCTCAATGCTTCTCCGTCACCATCAAATGATCGATAAAGAAATTAAAATCCCATTCGTTAAGAATCTGGTCCGAAGACGCTTCCTTAGTGTTCACTCTAAACTAACCCTCCACCTTAACCCACTGGCTCAAGCCCTTTCTTTAACGTCCCAGACATATCATCCTCCACGCCGTCTAAAACAACGACGGCCTCTAGACCTCCTTATATGAACCCTCCCAACTAAGCGAAAAGAGTTCCAGCACTGGTTGGTTTCGCTCCCCATTGCCTCATAGTCTCACTGATCTGACAGATATCTAACCATACTATTTGATCAATGTATATTTATTGTGTTCAGATAGCAATGAAAACTATAAATATTTACAATATGTACTCAGTATTTTTTTCTTTTCAAATGTTAATTACTAATTACGACTTTGGCAGCAATCAATGATTAGTATTGATTACAATTCTGAGATTTTCTCGTATGGTCTACAACTCTACACTATGAAGAGCGTTTTGGTCGCCTATTTTCATTGTTTTGTTCAGTTAGTCACGTTTTGGCTTCTTTTGTAAGATTAGAATTAGATATAATAAAATTCAAAAGGGGGGCGTTTCTAGGACAGTCGGCCTGGGATGGTCGATACGCGTCCGGAATAATTAGCATAGCGGCGACATGCAACCGGACAGCACAATGCTCATTAAAAATTTATCTTTGAAATCCGTTTGTTATTCTTTTTTCAGGCGAAGCCGGAAAAAGTTAAGCGCTACAATTGCAATCTGGACAACGAGTGTGCGACGCTGACCGGCGTCTTCAACTGTTCCCTCGGACATTGCGCCAACATGTCAGAGTTGTTTCTGTGTCATAACCACGCTGACGGGATTGTCGTCGATAGCGACAAAGACAACCTTAAGCTGAACGGTTTCTTCGAGTGCTACCACTCCAGGTAGCTTGTTCAACAAACTTCACATTTAGAGTAGGCACTTTTGACATTCTGCTACTATTCAAGCTGCAGTTTTTCTCCTCATCCTGTAGTTTAATAATTGAATATATTTAATATTTCGTTAAGAATTTATTTTCAGAAGAACCCTACAGACAAGGGGGTAACAAAAGAAGGTACAGGGGTCCCACAATTATGTGCCCAAAACCCATGAGTTAGTTTAGTAGTATATTTCATGGAAGGTCATCGCAGTTGAGAGATGTACTCAATTCAATTTGAAAAGAGAACAGAATAACCAAACTAACTTTCATGTCATACAGACAAGCAGCACTGAAATCGAATATTTCCAGTTTTGAACTGATGCTTAATTGCCAAATCAAGCTAAAAAGGTTAGGTATACAAAACCAAATATCTACCGGTAATCAGGACATCCAGTAATATAGGATAACAGAGTAGCAAGGAAAGGGCCACGCCGCTAGATCCACGCCATCAGAGAATTTATCTTAGAAGGGAAGACAACGTGGTAATGCAGATAAAATGAGAATTTTTTTGGGAAAGGACACAAGCAATCCAATAACCCCGTTTACTAGAAATGGAAAATTAACTACAGTATGCATCTGCTGAGGAGATTCGTTATTTCCGCTTCCGGACTTGACGGGGCACTGCAGATTCAATGGATACCTGAGAAAGAGAGGCATCAACCACATGACGTGTACTACTCCAGATGCAGAGGCCTAACACACCTAATATCGGATTGTGATGCTATACTACTATCTAGGTTCAAGTGTTTTGCGACCTAAATTGTGGACATATAATCCGATAATCCATTTCCTTGATGAATTAGGGCTCACAGAGGTATTAAAAATACAGAACAAGGGATGGTATGGTATGGTATAAAAGGATACTAGGAAGTGGGGTTTGTGCTCCCCAGGCACGCCTTTTGGCTTTTTGTACCTTCCTAGTTCCCTAGTTCAGTGCAATAGACTATATACTTCTCCTTAGAAGTATCAGATCACTGTCGCTGCTGCAATTTGATTCCTTAAGTTTTTTTCCGTACGTTAGGTTACATCTCCATTGAGCTGTTGGTTCGCATTCGAAGATGATGTGGGTGGCTGTTTCCTTCTCCTCATCACATAATCTGCAAATGGGATCATCGCTGTATATGCCCATGTTGTGTATATGTTTTCTCAGATGTCAGTGAGCGGTTAATACTCCTGCCACTCCTGAGTTTGGCCCTGTCCACTTGCAGCAATGATTTTGCCAGTCTTGGTGAGGGTTGTTTCATCATACGTTTACTATGTCTAGCGCCAGTAGAGTTTATCCACTTCTCTTTTTTTTGGATCCATTCTGCGATGGAGGATTCTGTATTTGTTTTCGTTATTCCAAGTATAGGTTCGGGGACTATGTATGGTCTTCCTAGATCCTCCTCTGGCCAGACTGTCTGCTTTCTCCTTAACAAAAATTCCCCTGTGCCCTGGCACCCAAGGTGGTTGTTGTGTTTACCTAGGTTTTGGAGATTTTGGATACATTCACTGACTAGTTTTGATGTAATTCTTTTACATGCCAATGCTTTAATAGCTGCTTGGCTGTCTGATCTTATGAGGATTTTTTTGTCAGTGTAACCTCTTTTAAGATTTTCCAGGACACAAGCGTTGATGGCACGTATTTCTGCTTGAAAGACCGAAGTATACTTCCCTAATGAGTTTGATTGCTCATGTTTTGGGCTTGTACAGAAAATGCCTGATCCGGTTCCTTCATTTGTTTTGGAGCCATTTGTATACCATATCATTGTATCTGATGCTCTCCTTTATAGTCAGTTGAGACATTGTAGGAAGTTGTGAAGAATGTTATGATGAATGGGATCATATAGTCAGTCCCCATTTCTAATAATGGTTGTCTGATTTTTTTATTATGGTTGTATGCCCGAATTGTTTAGTTCCTATCCAATTTAATTGTTTCTGGAACCTAAGTGAGCTTCTCCTTGTATAAATATTTCCAGTGGAGGTAGATTTAGCAGAGTTTCTAATGCATTTGTAGGTTGTTCTCACCTATAGCATAGGTTTGATAGTCTGTATATGCTGCCTAATGTTTGGGTAACTACTTTTTGTTGAGCTTTGGTCCAACAGATTTAGTGATTCATAGGCTATTCTGGTCCTTATTGAACAAGGGATGCAATAGCACTTAATGGGGCAATATCCTTATTATCACTTAATCTATTTTATATTTTATAACTGTGTTTCATTTCTTATTGCTTAAGTAATCATTTTCAGGTGTACAAAATACAGGAAAAATCTCAACTGCGACAGGTACTGCAGCAAGATCACAACCACTTCCATGAACGTGTACCTACAGTCGGGTGACAACGTGTTCACCGGAGAGTGTGATAGGGTTGTGGCTTTTAACGAAGTCAATGGAAACGAACCCGGTGTGGTGTTGGAAGATCCAAAGGAGATATGGACCAGTAGAGACAATCGGACTCTATTCGCTTCTTGCGATATGATCGTAAAGAATGAATCTTCGTTAATGTAAGCTTTCTTGTAGACTAAACGTTATTATACTTAGGTTGAAATAAAGTAAAGACTAGAAGCTTTTAGAAATGACAATCTTTTCACGCATACATATATCGAATACCCCATCGGTCATAAAAGTGAGTGGGGGGCTGAAATGACTTCATTGTTGGTGCTCCCCCCCTCAAAAAAAATAATATAATAAAAGCATAGCTAGACTTCTATTTACGCTTGTCTTGAGAATCGCGAGCAAATAAATCCCATGTCCAAGAAAAAGGCTCAGTCAAATTCAAGTCAGATTAAAAAAAAAAGTCATTCCCCTTCCTAATGACAAAAATTAAATGAAATATCATAGAAACTGTCCACATAAATTAAACCAATTAAGGAACACCATATCTATGTTATATAGCTGGATAACGACGTTTTAAAATTCCTTCGATTCGAGAAAGTAAAAAAAAAGTACAAACTCAACAAAACATCACAGCACTAATGGCCTGAGTAATCAATCACAAATGTTTCATGAAATCTCAGGCTATAATTCACCAATAGATTTTTTCGAAGTTTTCCGTTTACAGATTAGCCATCAGGCAGAATATAAAACAACCGACGCTGATAATGAGCTCAAAATGTGACATGAAACAAAAAATTTGCCTTAACAAACGATATTTGTGGTATTTATTGGAACAATATACTATTTTATAACTTACGCATAGGTGGTAAATATGACAATTTAATAGTGACGTACCTGCAACAGAAAAAATGATTTAAGTGAATAAAGATAAAAAGTAGATAAATATTTAAGTTCATTTAAAGTACATTTTAAAAAAAAGATTTCTGAGCCATGGCCCACGTATCTGTCGGGCATGTAGAGAAAAATTCTCGGTGTGTCCCATTAATTGAAGGTTGCCATTCGTTTCCTCAACATAGAGAACGTGAGTAATACCACCGATATGAGAACTGTGCTTAAGTACTGCAATAAGTATGTGGATCCGCTGTTCGATTTTTCGGGAAAACAGTGATGTTTTATTGTACTGATATGTGTTGTTTTGTGTACTATAAGTGTACGTTGACAGTGAAGGCATTTATTGATGTGAATGTGTAGTGTGATATGGTTTATGGCGGAATATTCAGTACCCCATCGGCCCATAATTCATAATATGTTCACAGCATATAATAGGTGTAAATGGTGATGAAGATATCAAGTACTATCATAAATGACAAAATGGTATGTAAATAGGAAGTTATGTATTTAAGATTCAGTAAGAAGTGAATGGGCTTGGATCTGGATACCGATTGTATATGATATTGTTGAATGTTCAAAAATGTTAGTCTCCACCCAAATTATTTGTTTCTGGAGTCTGTATGAGCTTTTCTTAGGTTCTCTTTAAATACGTTTCACAACTTCTTTTAAAGCATTATCATGTAAAAATCTCCAACACCTGAGAAAACGCAACGATCTTATGACACAAATGATGACAAAAAGGAATTTTCTGTAACGAAAAGAAAGACAATCTTTGTCAAGAGGAGAATCTGCAAAACCATACACAGGTACAAACACCATACACCATACTCCATTTCACAATGGATAAAAAAGACAAAAGGAGAAGTAGAATAGTAAGCTATGTTAAAATAGCCTTCACCAAAAACTGGCTAACTTATTATACTTGGAGAAAGCTAAACTCAGAGGAATGATGAGTGATAGACACCAGTCACTGGCATCTGAGAAATCACATACATAACACGGGTATATTCGATAATTACCATATTTTAAGTTAGGCAATGAGAAGAAAAAGCCGCCCTGACATATTCGAATTTGAACTGCTCAATGGAGACACAACCCGAGATATTAAAAAAAAAATCTTAAAAGAAGGATCGAGTCAATTGAATTGAACTAATGAACCAGGAAAAGTTCAATACAACAAGACATAAAAGCTGCAGTGCTCAAGAGATATAAAATCCCACTTCCTATATTTCCATTAATATTATCAACAACTTTTATAAAGTAGTACATTTAGGTCGTTATCGAAGGTTATTTTTATTAAAAAACCCAAAAAGCCTGCCGAGAATCCCTCAAGTTATAGACCCATTAGCCTGTTGAGTGCACTTAGTAAGATATTCGAAAAGTGCATTCAGCACCGTCTTTACCTACACATTAATGCTAATAGCATTATCATAGATGAGCTTTAGACCGGGCCTCTCTACGGCCACCCAACTCACTCGCGTAGTAGATCATTGACCAACATGTTCAACAACAAAAAACATACTGGGATGGTCCTCTTAGACATGGAGAAGGCCTTTGATTCGGTCTGGCAGGACGTATAGTATACAGGCTCATTGAAATGAATTTCCCTGGATATCTTACAAAAGTTGCCATGGCCTACTTAAAAAACCGTTGTTTCCGTGTTTCCCTAAACAATGAAACTTCCAGACCTTTCCCAATTGCCGCCGGAGTTCCCCAAGGTTCAATCCTAGGGCCATGCTTGTTCCTCCTTTTTATAAATCCACTCCCCTCACTGAGAAATTGCAAAATTGCGCTTTATGCGGGTGACATTGCTGTCTATTGTTCATCCTGGAGGCCTAAGACAATTGTGAAAAGATTAAATGACAGCATAACCAGGATTTGCAGGTTTTGTCACCGCTGAAAACTTAGTCCCGAAAACTGAGGCCATATTTTTCACAAAACGACGCCCAATATTCAAGGAAACCATTTCCATTCACGGACACAAAATAGAATGGCGTGAGGGGGTAAAGTACTTGGGTTTAACTCTGGACCGAAAACTTAACTTCTCTCGGCATATAAACAATATAGTAACGAAAGGTAAAATAGCTATAAAAGCCTTATTTCCGCTGATGGCCCGAGAGAGTGGAATGAGCTTTGAAAATAAACTAATTATATATAAAGTAGCTATTAAACCTATGCTGGTGTATGCTTGCCCAGCATGGAGTTACACGTGCGAATCGAACATCAAAAAACTGCAAGTGGTCCAAAATAAATTTCTAAGGTTTATAACCTCACTACCTCGATACACCAGAATTGGCCTCCTCCATGAGAAAGTGGGAGTGGAGTATATTAATTCCGAATTAAAACGTCTGTCCAGGAATTTTTTTATGGGTCTCTCCTCCAGCAAGAACACTACTTGTAGGGATATAGGAGTGTATGATGTGAACTTTCCATGGAAACATAGAAGGATTAAGCACAATACATAAATTTAGGATCTGTGATATATTTATTGTTTCCTCTAGAGCTGTGATACTATAAAAAATTTGTGATAATTCAATTACCCGTGTAGCATTATTCTTGTTATTCTCATTTATTTATTTATAATTTTGTTAACACATTTTTGTTAATTCATTTGTTAATTGTTATCCTATTTGATACCTAGTGGGTTTTTAAAAAGATTTTTCCCACTATTTTCTTGTTTGATTAATTAAAAATAATAACAAACTAGGACTAGGTGCGTTGATAGGAAAAAGTTTTGAAATAGGACGTAAAAGTGCCCCGCCACTTCCCCTGCTTAATGAATGTTATGTAACACAATGTATAAGTATTTTTTTAATAAATGTTTATTCATTAAAAAAAAAAAAAGGGGCGATTGTAAACTTAGAACGGGCCGTTTCTGATGGATCTAAAGATACGTGATTATAGTCTCTGGATTCTGCGGAGATTACAAAGTTTGACTGAAACCCATAGTACTATGCCGTTTGTCTATACTGGTTTCAGTGATGATTTGTATTATTGTCGAGGGAGAGTTTAGTCTGTTGTCTAATAGTATTTTAAATAATCGGTATCGCCGGTTCAATTCTATCCTTTTAGGTCGTGCATGGGGATTCCAAGTCGGTTTCTTAACTAGGCACAACCCTTACGGATTACATTTTCAGCGAGAAGTGGGGTGAGGTATTCGACGGAGCGTGAATGTTATGATTTGGGACTTTTGGGTTTTTTGTTTGATTCGCCATTTGTGAACCATTGCTTGTAAGGTTCGGTGAGCTACGAAAAAAAGGAGTTGTAAAATAGAATTGCAGTGTCATCAGCGTATGTTAGGATAGTGGTCGGGGTGAGAAGAATAATCAGCAGTATATAGTGAATACAGTAGCGGGCCAAGGACGCTACCCTGAGGGGCTCCCTTGTCAACCCTGTTCAAAGGAGAGTGGGAGAATCCGACCCATACTCTCCAATCAGGTTGAACGTAAGACTGAATGTAGGATGCCATATAAAACGTTTCATTAGAAAGACTTAGACATTAGACACTTATATGATGATATATCGTTAATGAAAGTAAATAACAGAAAGCTAGTGGTTTTTTACTAATAGGGATGGGCAATCCACAGTTTTTGACAGATTCATCAATCCAGTATAATTTGGCAAATAAATCTGTTCATTCCACGCACTTTTTTATGTCTGCTACATTTATAGTCGTCCCATTAAGGAGCAGAGTCTGTTTGAATTATAACGGATAATGATGATCATTTGGAACGTTTATCGTCCGTCCAGTCTGATGGAGACGTCGCGCCGTTAAAGAACGCGGCATACGGCCGGAGCCAAAATATCGCTCAATCCACGTCAAATAATACATTCTCCACATTACAGGACTGTCCCCCCTCCCCCACATCCTTGAAAATCGATGAACTCCAGGGAGTTCTTTTGACAGGGCTAATGGCAAAGTTTATGGACCATTAGCAAAGTGAATTAAGTACATCCATGATTATATATATATATCCGAGGAAAATTACCATCAAGAGTATTGCATTAGTAAATATTGCCTGTTGTTACCCAACACAGCGTTCCCAGTCGCTGGGGAATTTCTCTGATTTGGACGAAACCTATCTAAAAAATAGACATTAAATTTCCCAAGATAATCTTTGTTATTTTAAAAAAATCAATGGTCTGATGATCATACTAATTACTTATATATATNTATATATATATATATATATATCGCCCGGTTACCTAAACTATATAACTCTTAAGAAAACTTCCGAAGTACGGTTGATAAATGATTTCTTGTTTATAGAGCAACTGATTGCATAAATGGAACTGAAGTCGGTGATAACACAATCCCGCGTCCTTTCATGAACTTCACGACGTTCTGGAAAATCGTGGAAAACAGCACTACGGAGGTCGACCCAACTCACAAGTTCCTGCCACCGCAGCACGTCCTCACCATCTACAACTACTCGCGCCTGTATATAAACATTGAAGGATGCGTCAATACGCTGATGGGCGAATGCGCCGAGTTCGTCGACACCCACGGGAACGACGGCGACAATAAGACCGCCCAAAGCAGGTTTCCCTGTTTCTACAGAAAGGTGAATAATATTTGATCATCTAATCGAAAACCTGTCGAATATAAAATATTTTTGTCGATAGAAGTACCAAACACATGTTGTGCAGTTTCCACAGTGCTGGAAACTTTACCCTTATTTTCATTAATCATGGGCTTAACTAGAGAGCCTTTAGAAATGATAAATGGTGGAGTGACTATTTTGTTCAATCTTTTCGAAAAGATTGTCCCTACTCAGTTAGCGTGTTCAACGATCCCGATTTCAAGCTTACAGCTAGCTCATTATCAGGTTGAAGGAATTTACAACCACGTCTCTCGGCACGACTGCTTTTTTCCTGGTTTTTACTGCCGCTCAATTTTGAACGTGCAGTAATTATAACACAATTAAATATTATATTAATAAATACTGTAAAAAAATTATTATAAATTAGTGATTCATTTGTATGTTTTTATTTATTAATTTAAAAAAATTAAATTAAAATGATACTATAATAATATATTAGTAAATTATGATAAAATTAAATAATAAAAATTAAAAAAATTAATTTGATTAATAATATTATTTAGAAACATAGTTAAAATAGGAGGTAAATCAAAATCTATTATATTAGTAATATATTTATCTCCATGTTCGATTTTACTTTTTTTAATTTCAAATTCTCAAACCAATCTGGTTTGTGTAACACTGTTGAATTTATATTTAAATAGAAATTGTGTTTAATCCTTTTTTTAAAAGTTTTTAAAAAAATTCATAATTTCTAGAAATTGTGTTTTGTTTATTTCAGATGGTGCTTAAATTCCGAAAATTTGTTCGATTTAGGCAAGTGTTCTTTAAATCTCGTTTTAATTTATCTACCGCTTTGTCCTATATATTTAATGTCGCAACCATTTCAATTAAGTTGGTAAAACTTCCATTAACTATATAACTATATAAAGCTAAATATATAAAAGAATTTACAAACTATTAAAGCCTTGACAAAAAAACAATGGATACCAAGAAATATTTACTGATAAGTTGCTAGTTAAAAGAATAAAAATAACTTTAAAAGAAGCAACAATGGGACTCAACCACCCCACCAAAAATGAATCATTAGGTTTTCGTTGTTTGCCGTATATTGGTGAACTATGAGAAAAAGTAGGTCAAATTCTTAAACAAGAAGGTTTTAGAACAGCTTTTAGAGTTACGTGTTCACTTGGAAACATCCTCTCAAAACCTTGGAAAAAAGCGGGGCTTACCAACTTAATTGAAATGATTGCGACATTAAATATACAGGACAAAGCGGTAGAGAAATAAAAACGAGAGTTAAGGAACACTTGGCTAAATCGAACAAATTTTCAGAATTTAAGGACCATCTAAAAGAAACAAAACACAATTTCAATATAAATTTAAACAGTTTAAAGTTTCAACGAAGGGAGGGAACTAGATTGGTTTGAGAAATTTAAAATTAAAAAATGTAAAATTGAACATAAATGCATTAATAATATTATAGATTTTGATTTACTATTTTAAATATGTACCTAAATAATATTAGACGTACAAATTAATTAATTTAATGTTTATTATTTAATTTTATCATTAATTTACTAATCTATCGTGTTTATTTTAATTTTTTTAATTAAAATAAAAACATACAAATCACTAATTTATAATTATTTTCTTACAGTATTTATTAATATAATATTTAATTGTGTTATAATTCCCGCTTTTCGCACGTTCAAAATTGAGCAGTATTAAAAACCAGCTTCTCATTGGAACGTCGCGTTGGCAGGGGCTCAGCGGGGGGATCACGTTTACAATTCATGTCGAGAGACATGGTTGTAAATTCCTTCAACCTGATGATGAGCTATAAGCATGAAATCCGGATCGGTGAAAACAGCTAACTGTGAGTAGGAACTGTCTTTTTAAAAAGAGGGGGGCCATTATTAAAATTTATGATCAAAATGGACCTTGGTAATATAACGGTATCGTGGGACGGATGAAAAGTTTTTTGTTTCTGTTTCAGAACGACCCTTTCATGGTGGTAGCGAGGTTCGATTTGAAAAAAACCTGGCTCGAGCTGATGGTAGCCATTTTCGTCCCCTCGACCCTCTTCGTCGTCTCCTTCATCACCCTGATCGTCATCGGACATTCCGTGTACGTCGGGGACGACGCGAAGATGCGGTGCATGATTTGCAGAAGGAAAAAGAAAAAGAAGACGACCGAGGAGATCAACGCCGAGATGGACCTCGTCATGGACGGGATAATCGAGAGGACCAACGCTATGGCCGATTCGCCCGAAGGCGTGGCCGTCACCTCGACCTGAAAACCTTTAAAAATAGAGAAAAATCTATGTTGTTGATGTTCTTGTTAATCAAAACTTCGTGCATTCTCGGTGACTCTTTTCAGCAAATATTGCTAAGTTGTACGGCAAATGGGAAACAACAAGTTTTTGTGATGACTAGACCTTGGGGAATCCTACCGGAGTCGTATCGATCCAAGAATGATTTAGTGGAGTAAAAAAGAGACTTATTATATTATCCTTCAAATTTTTGTTTCACTTTTTAATTAAATATTACATTTATTCTTTTCTTGACGATCTGACAATATTCTATAGACCTTGATAGCCACACAAGACAAATTAAGCCAACTCTACACAAAAGTGATTATATTGAGTAATCAGTTATCGACGGAAGTGGATTTGTTAACATCTCCAATTTTAAAATGCTTGTATTACGCTGTGTCCAATGCACAATTACTTTTAAAATGGATAAACCTTTTTGATTAGTGCTACTGGCTGATTTAATACATGTTACATATTCCCAATAGAAAGCTTGAAAAGTTGATGAAAGTCGACGACAACTGTATACTGTTAAGGTCGGCACGTGACTGGTTTAGATTTGGCCATAAGAAACAATATTGGATTAAAACTTGGATTTTTCTATTTCAAAACAGTCTAATTTTCACCTTACAGTCCAAAAACAAAATGTTTCCCCTGAGTACATAATGTTTAAAAAATTACCGTTTTTACAAAAAAAATAAATATACTTGCAAAAATCAAAAGAAGAAATTGACAGGGCTTTTATCTTAAGTAGTGAAAAAGTTAAAGCCCTTAGCAATCACATTTATCCATTGGATACCTACTACTGATATATATTTTTCATGCGACTTCATTGAGAATTACCAAAATATTTATTAAATTCCAATGTCTCTTTCAGATTTGAAACTTAACTGATATTATAAACAAAATGGCCTCCAAAAAAAAACTTAAGTACAAATAATTGAGTATTATTTAAATTTGAATTGTTGCATACAGAGAATGCTCTGAAGCTGGCTTGTTTTCAATTAGAAACGACATGAAAACTTGATTTCAATGTTGTAACAATGTGCCTTTGTTTTATAAGTGTTATGTTTAAGCTTCAATATCCTGTATTTATGATTTTGTGTATCTCTGTTTTTAAAAATATAGATGTATATACAGGTGTCAGATTTTATTTTGCTTGATGTAAACAACTACATATCGAGTGACAAAAAGCAAGGGGGTTGCCTTTTATCTCTGCTTAGACAATGACATAAAAACCTCACACACGTTGTCCATAATGGCACGTCTCAAGTTTTATGGAGACTTCAATGCGATTTTATAAAGAGAAAGGTACTATACACTTATTTTTAAAGCAAAAAAAAAACTTTTTCTGTGTGGTGATTAATGACCGTTAGTAAATGATTATTTGGAGATCATGAGATGCGGTCTGGTGTGACGTAGGTTTAGAAAAACGTTTTCTTTATCGTGCCAACGTTTCGATCTTTATTGAGATCATCTTCAGCGCCTGGGAATTATAAACATTGCTTAAATTATACCAATACATGAAGGATGTGAAAAAATGAATTTATATAATGCTAGAAATTTTGGACTCAATCAAAGCGTTTGTTTTCTGTGTAGATGTGTCATTATTGTGTGTCGTGTTGAGAGTGCCAGTGAGATATTGATGTTTTATGTTTATACGTTGGATTTTGAAGGAGAAGAGAAGGAAGTATGGATCGAAAAATCATTTTTATATGGGGAGTCGGCTTCTTTGAGATGAATGAAGCCGACAATGGGAAAGAATGGGTAATGGTTCGGCCTGATCATCCTTTCAGGATTATATAGTCGGAGAAAATTAGGGAAAGGAAAGCCAAATTGTTGAAGAATAAGACTTTGTAGAAATGTGTGATGTGAGGAATGTAATGATTGTTTTATATGTTTTGTGTGATGTGATGATTATGTAAGTATGTTATTGATATTGAATTTGATTAATGATATTAGCGACTGAGTTTACATGTGTCCGTTCTGTAATTGATGCTGTGTTTATCTCTGTTGATTTAAACCATTTCTAAAAAGTTACGTTTATGTTTGTTTTGTTCTGCGTGTAATATTTTTGGGTTGAAGTCGAAATTGTGTTGGTGTTCAAAATTGCAGTGCTATAGGACTGAAAGAAGACGGCACGGCACATTTAATACTTTCAACTTAGAAATTTACAATTATTTAATTTAAAATACTGATTGTTCAATCATTTATTGTTATAAAATTATTGAAAGTTAATGTCGGTAAAAGCTTTATAAAAAACCCGTTATTTGAATACCCTGAAACTTTTTTTTTCTACGAGGGTTCGCAACAGCAGAGGTCATATCAACCCTCGGGGTGCCGGTGTTTTTGAAAAAAGCCCATTTGTAAGTATGTCGGCCCTTATATCCAGCGGCCCTGCATTCGAACCCGGGACCTTTACCTTACAGTGATGAGCACCGTGTCAACGCCTAAACCGTTGCGGCCACCGACGTCCCTACTCTGAAATTTAGTAGTCGATTCACTTAATAAGATTGATTTTGAAAAAATACTATAGTTTAAGTTTAATATTTTTGCATCATCACTTTTATTCTCTATACCTTCATACCCACAAAGTATCTTTTTTTCACTTCCACCCGATTTTAATAGTCTGAAAGCTAGCTTAACACTATTTCTCAAAACAGAAAAAGAGAAATATGTGTATTTACACATTATGATAATTTACTGTTGATGGCAATGTTGAAATTCTAGTACAATATATTTTCCCATTTTACAAGGATGTCTAATATGTAATATGCATCTACAAAAAGGCAAGAAAAGCCAGCATATCAAGGGCCTGCGAGCTCCTCTGGGATTAAAATTGGAAATAATGAAAAATTTCTGATGAAATCCTTTTCAATGGCTAATATATTGCATTGGTGGAAAAATAACGCAGGTTTTGAAAAGGCAGTCAAAATTATTTTTAATTTTTAAAAAATAGAGAAAATTTATTCGAATTATTTTCCATCACAACCTATACATTTTACGCCATCGTGTAATAAGCGCTTTTATTCCGCTGACATAAAAACCTTTATTTTCACTCACAATAAAATCTTGGGAGGCGTTTTCGGATTCACCGCGTTCTCTATACTCGCTATAAAAATGTTATACCTTAAAAAGTAATCAAAATGCCTAAAAAAGTAGAAGTCTGTAAATTAACAACTTGTTTAAAAATAATTTTATTAATAACTACCTTTTTTATTTATTTTTTTATTTTTGAAGAGTAGGGACTTAAACCAAACAACGTACAACATGGTCTTTTATAGAAATATGTTTATTCAAAACGTTTTCGACCCTTGACACAAGTCCTCATCAGTGTTATTAAAATTTATCTGGTGGACTTCCAAACAATATAGAACCTTTTATTTTTTGAACTATTGTCAAGTAATAAAAATTGACAATTTTCAAATTACTAGAAAAAATTTATACGAAAAGGAACGGCGTTTTGTGGCTACACTTCTGAAACACAGACCGGTGTTGTGGGTTTAGCCTAACCACATATTAAGAATAGCTTTTATTTATGTATTTTTAATTTTTTTAACGACAATTTCGTATAATTTTCGTATAAATACAACATAATTAATTAATAATTAATTAATTCATAAATACATTATAATTACATAATAATTATTTAAACGTTTCTATTAAAATAAAAATAGTCTAACGGAATATGTTTTAAAACAACGTTGCTAGCGTCTTTCTTTGTCATTCTACTGCACAAAATGCTGATTTGTTTAGTTGAAAAAGCATTAATGATTTTTTTCTTACTTAACACAGACAAAAACGTACACGTGAATGTCCTTCATTAAATGCCGATCATTTAGTACTAAATACTATTGAATATGCAACTATTGTAAGTGTCATTTTTGATATAGAATCAATGCTATTATACCTACATCATTAGGAAAATGTCTAGTATTGCACGGTACGGAAAAAAAACAATATCTAGTAAACGATATAGTTAATATCGGCCAAATATGGTTAATTAAAAATGAAGTAGTAGCGAAAGTTTCATTTAGAGAGACTAGAACACGACTACCAAGTGTCGGTTTAAATAAATCGCAATGAAATAAAATGTGACGATTTAAATTAAAGAAATATAAATACATCTAAGCAGCATAAAATACCGCATTCACTGGTTGAAGTTATTTATTTTATTTATTAACCAATGATGTGTAGTAATTCTTTCAGCAAAATCCCTTGACTTTATATAATGCCACACGATGAGAATCGCGAGAATAAAAGATCAAAGATGAAAAGAAAAAATGCAAATCTAAGAAAGAAAGAGCTGCTGATGGCCAATGTAATTATACATGGCGATGCCACACGTTATCAGAATCGCCATATCTAATCTAAATTGGCCATCACCAGCTCTTTCTTTCTTAGATTTGCATTTTTCTTTTTCACCTTCGATCTTTTCTTCTCGCGATTCTCATATCGGGTGACATTCCTACGCGCTCTCTATATGAAGACAAGGAATTTTCATTCTTAATTAACCCACATTTGGCCGATATTAAATATATCGTTCACTAGATATCGGCTTTTTTCATTACCTTGCATTACTAGACATTTCCTAATGATATAGTAATAACTGCATTGATTCTACAATAAAAATGATAAATACTTACAATAGTCCCATATTCAATAGTATTTAATAATAAATGTTATTATAAATATAAATGTTATTCTATTTAAAAAAAATTAATTTCAATAAATACATTTAATTAATTAAATTATTTAAATCTATTTGTTAAAATTATACCAAACTGTCGTTAAAAAAAATAATTAAAAATAAATAAATAGAAGATAATCGAAAGCAAAGCGATAGGCTAAACCCACAATACCCGTCTGTATTTCAGAAGTGTAGCCACTAAGCGCCGTTCTTTTTCGTATAATTTTTTTCTCGAAATTTGAAATTTGTGAGATTTTATTGCTTGACAATAGTTTAAAAAGTCCACCTGATAAATTGTAACAACACTGATGAGTACTCGTGTCAAGGGTCGAAAACGTTATGAGTACATATTTCTATAAAAGATCATGTTGTAAGTGGTTCTGTTGAAGTACCTATACTTCAAAAATGTTTAAAAAGAAAGCAAAAAAATTAGTTATTAATAAAATTATGTTATGCGTAGGAATGCCATCCGATATGAGAATCGGGAATATCTGGGATCCTCCTGTTCTGATTCTTGGTGTAAATAGGTTGTTCTATTGTACATGTAGTACTGACAATTTTGTGTCCCCTAGTGAGTTTTGAGAGTGAATGAATTTATTGGCAAGAATGTGTAGTGTGAGAGGACTGAGGGATAATTATTGAACCGTGGACAGAAAAAAATAGTAACTAAAATAGGTGAGCGTTATGAAAACAGATTAAACAAACATAAAAAACTAAAAGTTTCCTTTTTAAATATTAGGTACTAAGTTTTATTACTGTTTAAGTAAGTTATTTTACTACTTATTACAAGGGTTCACAACAGCAGAGGTCAAATTAACCCTAAGGATGCCGGAATTTTTGAAAAAAGCCCATTTGTAAGTATATCGACGGGGGTACCTTTACATTACAGAGATGAACGCCGTATCGACACCTAAATCATTGTGGCCACCAACGCCCCCTTTTATTACTGTTCTTAGCCAACATTTGACTTATTTAGAAAATATTTTGTATTTATTTCGTACTCGATCTCTTGGGAACCAAATGGAAACCACTTAGGGCCTACAGGTTATATCAGTGATGAGCACCATCAGCACCGTTGCAGCCACCGATGCCTCTCTATCACATTATATTTAATTTTTTATTAAAATTTTTGTTATGTATCATGAAATTTTTTAAAGATCCATTGTCTTTTTTATATTTATAATTTGTGGGTTTTTGAAACAAACTTTTCCATGCTTTTTTAATAAAATTTTTGTTTTATTTTTAAGTTAAATTTTTTGGACATTTCAGGAATTTTCACCCAGGTTCAAATTTTAATCTGCATCTTTTTGCAAATTTGAAACATTTTTGATTACTTAGATAAATAAAAATGAACTAAGTAACTAAAAACAAGAGATGACAAAAACAAGACCCTATCCATCCCTAACCACTCCTATTTCCTTTCAAATGGAAATAAGTATGTACTAGATAAAAAAAAATG